CTCTGTCTCTATCCCTCTTTGTCTCTGTCTCTGTCTGTCTCTGTCTCTCTGTCTCTATCCTTCTTTGTCTCTGTCTCTCTGTCTCTACCCATCGTGGTCTCAGTCTCTGTCTGTCTCTGTCTTATTTTGCCTTGCCTCTATATCTAAGCCCCAAGTCACATCACTTGTTTTTGCTATAGGCCTCAAAAATGTACAGCTTACAAAATGTCTCAAAAATGTATACAATTTATAACTTATGAGATAACTAAAGCAGGAAATCCAAGCACTTCCTATCTAAAAAATCCAAATCTCCAAAGCAAGGGCTCTGGTCACAAACCAAGAAGTGTGTCTGGGGTGAAGGTCCTGGGGCCAGGGGGCTCCGCCGGGTGGAGGCTCCGGGCCACAACCCCATGGAGGTTGAGGGGCTGGGTCTAATCTGTCCTCTTTCTGCGGAGGGGGATTGCTGGATCAATGGGAGGAAAGGTGACCCCAGATTCCTTTCTTGTCCCTGAGGCCAGTGAGCTCAGCCACCGGCTGTCTCAGACGTCGGGTCTCAAGGGGCCAGGGAGGAAGGGGACAGCTTCAAGGGGAGGCAAGCAAAGGTTGGCTGGCAGGAGTCAGAAAGCCCTCCCACCAGGGAACTCCCCCGCAGGGTAAAGACCCCTCTAGAGCAAACAGAGCAAACACTAGCTGACTCGCCAACAATGCCTGTGGGGGCGGTTCCAGGCCACCCTCCCAGCCTCTCCTGTTGCTCCAGGGTTGTCTCAGGCCCTCATTCTGTGTGGACCCTCCAGACTCAAGGGCTCCTTGCCCCCTGCCTCCTGGGCCTCCCCCTGCCTCCCAGGTCTCCCCCTGCTGGCACATGTGCTCAGACACACGGCAAATGCCCATGAGCTCTTCCTTTAGCATCTCAGCTGCTGACAGCACGGACTGTGCCTCAGTCAAAAGGGAAAAGGGTTAGAAGCCAGACCAAGGCATGGCCACCACCCTCATGACCTGTCTGCAACTCCCTAATGCCAAGGACCATCAGCATGTAAACTGGGAGAATCCTTGGTCATCGGGAACCTGCACCATCTGGGAGATGGATTTCTGGTCTCCAGGTGATACCCTGCCCTGCACCCCACTGCTGGGAGGGGAGGTCCTTCCCCAGGGAGCTGCTGAGGGACCTCTGGGGGACCCCCACACTCCACCCTCAGAGCCTGTAAACACCACCTCCTGTCTCTAGGTCTCGGGGACATCGGGGGCTGTGCACTGAGCTCGGGTGGGGCATGAAGTCCCCATGTCCTCACACCATGGTCGCCTTGCAACTGTGTCTCCCAGAGGTTGTCTCCACCACAGCCACCCTTCCAGTGTGGGGCCTCACGTAGGGGAGGGGGACGCTCTGGGGCTTTTCTCTGCCTTGGGAGGACAGTGAAGCCTCAGTACCAAGAACACAGGCACAGACAAAGCAGAGGGGCACAAGCCAGAGCTTGCCTCCCAAACACAGCCTCTCCAACGGGTCAGTGAATGTCCCACCACAGCTGTGGACATGATCCTTATCCAAAGCAATGGGTCCTGGCCCGGGTTTTCCAGGCGGCCCCTGAATCTCCCCACCGCTCCCCCACCACTTTATTTATTTATTTATTTTGGTTGAGATTTTGAGTCCTTAAGTAATGAAAGATGCCAAGAACAGGATCGGGACTTCCTGACCTTCCCCCTCGTGCTCTCCAGACTAATTTTCTTTGCATTTCTAAAATCACAGCGGGATGGCACCAACCACAAAACCAAAGGTAAAATTGGTCTCTCTAAGGTCAACATCTCGGCCTCCCCTGGGTGACTCTCACCGTGATTTAAAAGACGGAGACCTCTGTCCCCAGCCCTCAGAGGGCTCAGGTTGTGCTGGGGGCCTGGGGTTGGGGAAGCTCTGCGTTTGACTGGGCTCCAGCACGGGGTGGCTGCTGGCACAGTCCGTAGCTCATCCAACATGGTGCCCGCCCCACCTCCAGGAATTCAGGGAGGTATCTACTCCTACTTCTGGAGTCCGCAGGACCACACCAGGCACCCATCGGAGCCCGGAACATTCCCTGCGTGCCTGTCCACGAACACCCCATATGCAGGCAGGTCGGGAGAGGAGGGTGCTGGTGTCTCAGTCCCTGGGCTGGCAGACAAGGGCTGGCAGCTGTCCAAGGCAGAATCGGCCCCAGAAGGGCCTGTCACCCTACTCAGAGGGCTGCAGGCGGCTGGACACAGACACTCCAGGTGCTTCCGTGCAGAGCTCAGAAAGAGGAGGGCACCGGCTGCAGCAGCACCACAGCCTGGGCAGTGGCCCAGAGAGATCAGGATCCCCAGCCTTTACCAGGCTTCACCAGCGGGCGGGGGATCCCCGGCCTTTACCAGGCTTTACCAGCAGGCAGGGGATCCCCGGCCTTTACCAGGCTTTACCAGCGGGCAGGGGATCCCTGGCTTTTACCAGACTTTACCAGCGGGTAGGGGATCCCTGGCCTTTACCAAGTGATACCAGGGGGCGGGGGATCCTCGGTCTTTACCAGGCTTTACCAGGGGGCGGGGGATCCCCGGCCTTTACCAGTATTTACCAGGGGGTGGGAGATCCCTGGCCTTTGGCTTTACCAGGAGGCGGGGGATCCTGGGCCTTTGCCAGTTGTTAACAGGAGATGGGGGATCCCCGGCCTTTACCAGGCTTTACCAGGAGGTGGGGCATCCCCAACTTCTGCCAGGCGTTGCCAGGAAGCGGGGTGGTCCTGGGAGGTGGAGACGCTAATGTGAAGCCTGCGGGTCAGGACCCAAGGTCCCAGCCCCATCCCGGGCACTGGGGCTCCCTGCTGGCAGCTCCCCTGGGCTGCACTAGGAAGCCGGGTCTCGCTCTGCAGTGACAGGGACTTGAATCCCACAAGTGAGGAACAACTTCAGGACAAGGTGAAGCACATAGAGCATAACACCCACCGCCAGCACCCCTCCCTCAGATAAACCAGGCTGCTGCGTGAACACTCGCCTCCTTCCGCTCGCTGCCTGTGGGACAGGCAGGGACAGGCGTGAATGGCGGCTGTGGACAAGCGTGTTAGCTGGGCCAGAGCCTCCCCTGCACACTGGGACAAGTCCTCCAGTAACAATCCTGACAGCAAGACTGACCTCTGCTGCTCCTGGGCGCAAGCCCAGCACTGGGTGCTGTTCCCCACCTCACTGCCACACCCCACGAAACCCCCGGCAACACTGTGTACAGTTCCTGGTGCTATGGGAGGCTGGAACCCCCACCTCGCCCCTCATGACGCTTCCCCTACCTCACCTCCATGACACTACCCACACCTCGCCCCCCACAACACTCCCCCCACCTCGCCCCCACGACGCTCCCTCCACCTGACCCCCACGACACCATGTGCAGTTCCCAGTGCTGCCAGGGGCTGGGATCAGGTGGGGGCTGGCTGAGAAGCACAGCAGCAAAGGGAGGCACCCTTTGGCTCTCCCTACACCCCTGCCTTCCTGGAGAGTCTGACACAGGAAGCCCCACACCCACACCTGCCCTCAGGAGCTCACGGTGCCCACTCAGGATCCCCTGGGGGACTCAGGACTGGTTCTAAATGCATGAGGTCACATCAGTAAGCCTGGCCCTGCTGGACCCCATCTTGTTCCCTCTGCCCCCAGGGTCCTCCTTCCCCACCGCCCAGGGGTCACACAGCCCCAGGGCAGCCCTGAGATGAAGTTAGGATCCTTTTCCTGGTGGGGATTAGAGAAGGAGGGGATGGAGACCGGGCACTCTCGCTTCTACTCCGGGGCACAGATGGGGCCGGGGCCATCTGGACTGAGGGAAGCTGGCTCCCGTCCACACTCACGATGGCTGGAAGAGAAACTCGGGCTGAAACCCCAGGGCACTACGTGGGTGGTTGCAGGAAGACTGCCTCGTCCAGAAGCACCCTAAACTCTCATGCTCCCTTCATGGCCCCCAACAAGGTGCTGCAGATCCTGAAGGATGGAGCGTGGGTCCCGGTGTCCCAGGCAGGGTCCCCAGCTCACTCACTCCCCCAGACAGAGGCCGGCTTGCTCTGCGGGGAGCCTGGGAGAGGTCAGCTCAGCCCTGTTCTCCACGGGCACCAAGAGTGGGGGATACTCAGCCACTACCCGTCAGCACTGAACTCCATCTCCATCTGCCCCGTATAGCCTTCTTCAGCTTGGCTGGGGAGAGGGGGCCAGGCCTTCTCTGTGCCAGCAACCTCAGGCCCCCACTGTAGATGAGAAGCCCCCACTCCTTTGTAGGACTGGATCTGGGTGCTGCCATTCGCTTCCTGGGGCAGCAAAAAGTGCACATGAAGCACCTCGGGTTCCCATGGCTCTTCCATGCGACGTGCTCCGGCGGCAGGGTCTGTGGAGCCCGGGGGGCTGGCCCAGCCCCACCTCCGCCTGCTGTCTGCATGCATTTGAACTCCAGGTAAGAACTCACATGGATCCAGGGGCCTGCTACTGGACGGAAGCTCCCAGAAGCCCATGGAGCCAACCGCCCAGCAGAGCAGCACAATCGCAGGTGCAGACCTCTGCCTGGGGTTTCAGCCCTGGCTTCCTCCAGAAAGAATGAGTGAGTGGAAGTGTCTCCTGGGGAAGTGGGGTGTAACTGTATGTAACTGTTAGTGTGCATGTGTGGTATGCATGTGAGTGGTGCGTAACTGTATGCACTGTGCATGTGTGGTGTGTGCATGTGTACATGTGTGAGTGGTGTGTAGCCATGTGTGTGGTGCGTGCATGTATACATGTGTGAGTGGTGTGTAACTGTCGTGTGTGGTGTGTACATGTGTACACGTGTGAGTGGTGTGTAGCTGTGTGTGGTGCATACATGTATACATGTGTGAGTGGTGTGTAACTGTGCATGGGTGTGGTGTGTACATGTGTACATGTGTGAGTGGTATGTAACTGTGCATGGGTGTGGTGTGTTTATGTGTACATATGTGAGTGGTGTGTATGTGTATCAGGTGTGGTGTATGCATGTGTGAGTGGTAATTGTGCTTGTGCGTGTGGTGTGTGCATGTGTACATGTGTGAGTGGTGTGTATGTGTGTGCAGGTGTGTGTGCATGTGTACATGTGAGAGTGGTGTGTAACCATGTGTGGGTTGTGTACACGTGTGAGTGGTGTGTAGCTGTGTGCATGTGTGTGGTGTGTGCATGTATATATGTGTGAGTGGCGTGTAACTGTCATGTGTGGTGTGTGCATGTGCACATGTGAGTTATGTGTACATGTGTGTGGTGTGTGCATGTGTACCTGTGTGGTGCAACTGCATGTGTGGTGTGTGCATGTATACAGGTGAATGGTGCGTAACTGTCATGTGTGGTGTGTGTGTATATACATGTGTGAGTGGTGCATAACTGTCCATGTGTGTGGTCTGTGCATTTGTACATGCGTGAGTGGCATGTAACTGCATGTGTGTGGTGTGTGCATGTGTACATGTGAGTGGTGTGTACTTGTGTGCATGTGTGTGGTGTGTTTATGTGTACATGTGTGAGTGGTGTGTGACTGTGGGCATGTGTGTGGTGTATGCATGTGTACATGTGTGAATGGTGCATAACTCATGTGTGTGGTGTGCATGTGTACATGCATGAGTGGTGCATAACTGTCGTGTGGTTTGTACATGTATATGTGTGAGTGGTGTGACTGAGGGCATGTGTGTGGTGTGTGCATGTGCATATGTGTGAGTGGTGCATAACTGTTATGTATGGCATATGTATGTGTACATATGTGAGTGGTGTGTGACTGTGCATGTGTGTGGTGTATGCATGTGTACATGTGTGAGTGGTGTGTGACTGTGTGCAGCATGTGCATGTGTACATGTGTGAGTGGTGTGTGACTGTGTGCATGTGAGAGTGGTGTGTGACCGTGTGCATGTGTGTGCTGTGTGTGTGTGTACATGTGAGAGTGGTGTGTGACTGTGTGCATGTGTGTGCTCTGTGCGTGTGTACATGTGAGTGGTGTGTCTGTGCATGTGTGTGCTGTGTGCATGTGTACATGTGAGAGTGGTGTGTCTGTGCATGTGTGTGCTGTGTGCATGTGTACATGTGCGAGTGGTGTGTGACTGTGTGCATGTGTGAGTGCTGTGTAACCATTTGTGTACATTGTGCATGTGCGTGGTTTGCCCGCCCCCTTGACCCTGGGCATCCCTGCAGGTGGGGCCTGAGCAATGCTTACTTCTGACCACACAGAGGCCGAAGAACTGGGTGTCTCTGATGCTCAGCACGTTGCACACTTGCTGGAAAAGCTCCAGGCCAGTGGCCTTCACCTGCAAAAGAGGTGAGGAGGGGCTCAGGGAGGGGCTGGCACCTGCCCCTAGAGAGTCCACCTAGTCAAGAAAGGCCCAGGAGAGCACCAGGGGGACGACCCAGTCAGGCACCTCCTGCAGGGAACAGGTCTGGGTTCCTCACTCGCTCCCAAAGCTGAAGACTAAACATGAGCCACATGCCCATCAGAGCGCATGCCAGTGCGGGGACGTGAGGGTGGAGGGGGCGGGTGCTCTGGACAGTGGGTCAGGGCTGCTTCTCCGTCCCTGTCTGTCCCTGGTTTGTGAGGATTTCCTGAGACCAGTCAGGGACGCATGACGCAGCGTCACCCCCAGGGCGTCCCTCTGGGCTTTGTCCTCGAACGGCACAGACGAAGGAGCGCGAGCATCAGCGTTTCTTATCATCCATCTTATTATCGCTAGACGTGAGCGATCCCGCAGCACTCCTGCAGTCGAGCTCTGACTGACAGCAGCCTCTGAACACCAAGCCTGGGGCGCGCCCACATTTCCCGTGTCCTGCACGTGCCACGACCTCACACCTGTTTGGGCCCCAGCATGGCTGGGACAGGTGGCGTCCCCCGCGCGGAGCTCTCCCTGAGTCCCGGCTGTCACAGCAGTGCTGGGGCCCATCTTGGGATCACCAGGCAGGAGAGGCGGCGCTCTCGGGTGGAATCGCAGCGCCTCACGCTGGTGACGGGGCGCAGGCCGGCAGCTGTGTGCTCTGCTCTCAGACTCTCCCGAGGACACTCACTTGGGACTCCAGGAGAAAGCATCACAGCAGGGCCCAGCTGGCCGCCGGATCTGCAGAGGCTGTGTTGTGACTCTTCATTTGCACAGTCTTTAGTCAAACGAGGTAGCCAGCTTACTAATCCCGCCTTACTGTAAGACTGGCTTCCTTATTGACGTGGTTCGGCTGTGTCCCCACCCAAATCTCATCCTGAAGTAGTTCCCATAATCTCTCTGTGTTTTGGGAGCGACCTGGGGGGAGGTAATTGAATCATGGGGGTGGTTCCCCGATCCAGTTCTCACGATAGTGAGTTCTCACGAGATCCGACGGTTTTATAAGGCCCTTCCCCCTTCGCTGGGCACTCATTCTCTCTCCTGCTGCCCTGTGAAGAGGTGCCTTCTGCCATGACTGTAAGTTTCCTGAGGCTTCCCCAGCCATGCTGAACTGCAAGTCAATTAAATTTCTTTCCTTTATAAGTTACCCCTTCTTGGGTATGTCTTTATTAGCAGTGTGAGAACAAACTAATATGGTTACTGTCTGCTTAATGTGGTCAGGGTCAGGCAGGCAGCCCCACAATGGCAGTAACACAGATCTACAGCAAGGGTCTTCCGGCCTATCCCCTTCTAATGGGCTTGATACCTGTTTGGTTGAATAGGGGGTCCCTAACTGCAGACACAGATGTGCACACACCCCAATGGGAGGCCCTGTCTAAATGCAGACATAGATGCTCGCACACCAATAGGGGGCTCCTGTCCTACTGCAGACGCGGATGTGCGCACACCCCATAAGAAGCGGGCTCTGTGGCTGCCAAGTTGGAAGGCCC